GTGGAACCACTTAATCTTTGGCATCTGAAATCACAAAATAAAGAATACTAATAAGAATAGATCCCCGAACGAATTTGCCAAAAAAGATTTCTAAAAATATATAAAAGTTATAAAATAGGCTGAACCTTGTAATCGCAGCATAATCACCCTTACTGATAGACGCTAACAAAATTACCTCAAGATGTGCCGGTTACTATTGTAGTCAACCAAGTCAGTGGATAGAATGAAAGTAGCAGTGAGACGTATCAATGACAGTAAATCCTTTAATTACTTATTTCGGTGATAATTTTGACCAAAATTGTGGCAAAATGTTTCAGTCGACACAGCAATAAGCCGCACCAAGTAATTTCGCATTATTTAGGAAATTTTAATGAAGCCGAGGATATACCAAGTTTACGTTAAGAAATCTGGAAGCTGTGAAATACCCCGTAGTTTATGATCAGTTTTAAATGGAGGACTTTTAGTAGGATGAACTATCTTGTGTATCTAAGCGATAAACAATGTCTAAAGAGCAAGTAAAAGCTTTGAGAACCAAAAATGGTGCTAGAGCCTAATTTGTTATAACAGCTTGATAAAAGTGAGGTTTCTCTCGTTAAGATTTTCATTTCCTTATTGGCCTTTAGGTTCAAACACTTTTAGCTAGATTAAAATGATAACAGTAAGGCCAGGTAAGATAGAGATAAGCATAAACTCATAAAAGTAAAATAGTACGACCTCCCAAAATCACTATAACTCCAGGCAACAAGTTGACAACACAGTAAGTATCTACACCATAAATTAGAAATGTATTTATTACACCGTCATCTGTGAAAATGATGAGAAAGAATATTAATTTTAAGATATGAAAATTTCTAGGCTTATTTCATCATATTTGTCCAATGGATTTGAAAATGTGGATACAAAATGAGGCTACTTGGAAGATATGAGGTCAAAATTGGGGAACATAAATGCGATGCATATCGGTGCATGCATATTCATGTAATTTTTGTACGTGAGTTCAAGTGCATTTATGTATAAACAGGAGGCAGGTGGTAAATCGTTTGGCCAAACACTGTAGAAGAGAGGTCAAGTTTCTGTATAACGCAAATCAAGAGAGAAATATAGACTAGCAAGCCACAGGAAGCTGAACAAGAACCAACTTTCTCTTAAATAAAGCACCGAGTATA